CAACGATACCACTCTTTTGGCCGTGTGGAAGTGAAACAACGTAAGTAGGTCTCAACCCCTCTATTCACTACTTCCGTTTGTCCATCGGTTTGCGGGTGATATGTCGAGCTATGTTTCAGTTTGGTCCCCTGAATTTACTCAAGAATACTTTATCCCTATCGGAAATTATCGACCTCGGAATTCCATGCAACCTGACTACTTCCTTAACAAAAATTGCACCGATGGATGGAGCTGTAAAAGGATGCTTACGACCAATGAAATGGGCATACTTACTTAAGCGATTGACCACCACCAAGATAGAGTCGAACCCTTCAGACTTGGGTAACCCTTCTATGAAATCCATGGAAATGTCGTCCCAAATTTTTTCTGGTACAGAAAGGGGTTGCAACAACCCTGCTAGAGCCAACGTGGAGTATTTATGCTGTTGACATATTTCACAGGCGGCAACATATGCCCTAATATCCTTCTTCATTCTAACCCAATGAAAGGTTTCAGCCACTCTCTTGTATGTCTTTAGGAACCCCTCGTGACCGCCAACCTTACTGTCATGACCTTCTTGTAACGCCAATAGGATGAACAGGGAAGCTTTGGGTAAGACAATCCGTCCTTTGTATAGTAAGGTACCCTGAATTAAGGAATAACCTGGATGGGCAAGGGAGTCCTTCTTCAAAGCCATCACTATGGCCCTCCAGATCCTGGTCTTCTTCGACTGTCTTTATTACCTCTTCTAGCTGTAGTGTACTTGGGATGCTTAATGCCATTAATGTAGCGGCTGCCCCTTTCCGAGACAATGCATCAGCTGCTTTATTTTCCCGTCCGGGTTTGTATTCAATGTCGAAGTCAAATCCCAATAACTTTGTCAGCCACCTTTGATATTCATCATTTACCACTCTCTGTTCAAGAAGGAATTTAAGGGCCCTCTGATCTGTTCGTACCACAAAACGTCTCCCAAGCAAATAATGCCTCCACTTTTGTACTGACAACACAATCGCCATGAGCTCTCTTTCATATAAGGACTTGTTTTGATTACGTGGTGGTAGAACTTGGCTGAAATAAGCAATGGGTCTTCAATTCTGCATCAGAACAACTCCCAACCCTTGCCCTGACGCATCTGTTTCAATTTCAAAGGGCTGTGTGAAATTAGGAAGAGCCAATACTGGTACTAAAGTCAAAGCCTCTTTCAATTTCCTGAAAGAAGCCTTTGTCGCTTCATTCCACCCAAAATTATCATTTTTTAACTGTTGAGTCAGGCGCCATGCTATTTTTCCATTGGCTTCTACAAAGTGCCTATAATATCCTGTTAGTCCTAGGAATCCTCTCAATTCCTTCAGGGACTTCGGTCTTGGCCAGTCTCTCATGGCAGCTACCTTGGACTCATCCACCGCCACTCCCTTTCCTGATATTATATGTCCGAGGTACTCGATCTCTTTTTGCCCGAATGAGCACTTCTTCCGATTGGCATGTAACTGATTGTCTACTAAAGTCTGCAAGACTTTCCTCAGATGTCCCTTGTGTTCAGCTTCCGACCGACTATAAACCAGAATGTCGTCAAAAAATACCAAAACATACTTTCTGAGCTGGCCTCTAAAGATAGTGTTCATTATTGACTGAAAAGTGGCTGGTGCACTAGTCAAGCCAAAAGGCATGACGAGGAACTCATAGTAGCCTTCATGGGTTCGAAAGGCGGTTTTTGGGATGTCCTCTGCCCTGACCCTGATTTGATGGTATCCAAATTTTAGATCAATTTTCGAAAATACTGTCGCCCCATTCAACTCATCAAGTAATTCGTCAATGATTGGAATAGGAAACTTGTTAGGGACTGTGACCTTATCTAGCGCCCGATAATCCACACAAAACCTCCAACTCCCATCCTTCTTCCTGACCAAGAGTACAGGGCTTGAGAAGGGGCTTGTACTGTGTTGTATTATTCCTGCAGCAAGCATTTCCCGCACCAACTGCTCAATTTCATTCTTTTGGAAATGCGGGTACCGGTATGGTCGTACACCAACTGGTCCTGCCCCAGGTTTCAAGATGATTGCATGATCCTGACTTCTGTGGGGAGGCAGCTGGGTAATCTCCTTGAAAGCCAAACCGAATTCCTTCAGAATCTCTGCAACGAAGGTTGGTGGATGAGATAATGAGGAATTTGTGTCGACAATGATATTTCCCAATTCTAACAGGAGTCCTTCCCCTTGCTCCTTAAAAGCTTTCCACATTGATTTTAGTGAAACGACCATTTTGCTGAGGCTCGGATCTCCCTGCAGAATTACTTTGGTTCCTGCCACGTCGAGGGTCATTATTAGAGTTTTCCAGTCCACTTGTGTTTTGCCCAATTTCTGTAACCATTGCATCCCTAAAATCACGTCAGAGCCACCCAGTTCCAAGGGTAGAAAGTCTTCTTCTATCACCAATCCCTGCACCCATAAAGCCACCTGCTGGCAAACTCCCTCTTCCTTCACTGTCAAGCCGGTACCCATTATAACACCATAGCTTGTGGTGCCTGACAAAGGGAGCCCCAACTGCTGCACTACTTCTGACGAGATGAAATTATGTGAGGCCCCACTATCAATCAACACCACCACTTCTTTCTGACCGAGCATCCCCCTCAATTTCATGGTTCCCGGGGTAGTGAGCCCCACAACAGAATTTATGGGCAGTTCCACCGATTGACCCAGCCCACCTTCCTCTTCTTCTTCGACTACCAGCTCGCCCATAGTTTCCTCGGGATCGGAGCTCAGTTCGCCCCTCCTTGATCCCTACCGTATCTCTCCTTCTTTTATCTCACGAATCACCAAGACCTATAGCTCCTTATTCTTACACTTGTGCCCAATCGTAAATTTGTCATCACATCGGTAACACAAGCCTTTCTCCCTCTTAGTTTGGATTTCGGCATCTGTGAGCCTTTTAAATGTCGGGGTATTTTTGGGGAAGAAATTTGGGCACTGAGGTTGCATTCGTAAAGGAACTGTGGTTTTATTTTGGATTTGGGTGGGTTGTCGTGGATTTGGGCTATGATAGGGTATGCTTTTGGGTTTTATTGAGCTATTAGTCCATGGGCTAGACTGGATAATTAGCTTTCGGTCTTCTACCATTTGGGCCACCTCCATCATTTGCTCAAGGCCCGTTGGTCTTAGTAACTGGACTTCTGCCCTGGTGCCCGGTTTAAGACCATTGAGGAAATTGCATTCCAGAATCTCTTCCGACACTTCTGTCAAAGGCGATGCCAGCGTTTCAAATCGCCGGCGATATTCCCTTACAGTGGAGCTTTGCTGGAGGGAGAGAAATTGTGCGCAAAGGGACCCCTCTTGTGATGATCTGAATCGCCTCAGTAATTGAGTTTTCACCTTTCCCCACGATTTCATAGGCCGACGTCATTCTTCCCATTTAAATCAAGCCAACGCCTCGCCGTCGAAACAAACGGCGGCGGCCTCCACTTTTTCTTCCTCCGTGAGGCAATTGATACTGAAGTACCTCTCCACACGTAAAACCCAGTCATCAGGATCAGCTCCTTCAAACACTGACATCTCCAATTTCCGTATTCGGGTTTCCCCTCGCCATTCGCCACCTGATCCTTCCCCAGTGAATTGACTTCCACCGGGTCTTAGGCGAGTTAACCCAGAATCAGCAGAAGCCATGGGCGACTTCTCTATCGCCGTTTCTTTTTCCTTATGCTCCCTTTCTTGAATATCCCGTGACCGCATCAACAACTCGAGTTTCTCCATCATTCCAGCCTGCATCAACCTGAATTCATTTCTCAGAGAATCTAACCCAGTATGAAGTTCTGGTGCCTGCTTTCTATTCTTTGCTCTAATTCTCCTACTCGATCGGACAGAGTCATGGTTGTTGTGGGGGTGCTCTGATACCAGATTGATAAGATCTAACCAAAACTGAAAATAATAGAACAGAAGAGAAGAAGAACGGAAATGCTTTACTGATCAGAAATGAAAGATGATTACAGGGAAATTAACATTCAGTCATTCGAGAGGGCTGCCTCTCCTTACTGTCTATTTCACTCAACAATTTTCATGCCTCATCCCCTTACACAATTTCTATTTATAGACTACCGTAACTGCTTCCTGCCTTCCTAACCGAATTTGTTTCGTACCTCCACCTTCTCACTCCTTCCTGCTGTTTCTAGAATAGGTGTATTTTATCGGGAGCTTATCAGTGTTATTGTGATAAGAAGGACAATCTGGGTCACATATGCCGGAATGAAAAGCTACAAGTATTATTGGTTTGGGGAGGTGACGGGGATGATCAATTAGATGGGTCACAAGAGGAAGAAGAGCACAAACTAGGAGAGCTGGTCGAGATATCACTCAACTCCGTTGTGGGTCTTACCTCACCAAAAACCATGAAAATTAGGGGCTCGATTTTGGAGCAATCGGTAATAGTTTTGATAGATTACGAAGCTATACATCACTTCAATTTAACAGGGCTGGTTGATGAATTAGGCCCGCATGCCACAGAAACTACGAGCTATGAGGTTTCTATTACGTGGGTTCCATTTATGGAATTTGTATGAATAACATTTTAATGGTAGGTGGACGACTAGCTGCACGAGCTAACAAGTACAATAAGCTTAACTCCAAAAACGGATTTGTTATATGGAATTTCGAATTTTGAAGTTAAACCACATTCCCACCTTGAGGACAAGGTGGATTTCGAAGGGCGAGTAATGATAGACTCCTATCAATGTGGAAGGATCTAGAAGAATTGAGAAACTTACTCAATTAAAATAGATTCAGGTAGGGGCAGGGGTATTTTGGAGAATAATGATGTGATAAGTTGCCTATAAATGTAATGGGGAGGGATTGGGGATATTCATGCTGAGAATTAGTTGTTGAGCTAGGGGGAGAGATCTAAGCCTCTCAAATGCTTAGAATTGTTCTTCAATTTCTATAATCGTCCGTCTTTTTAATCAAAAAGTCACTCATTCAATATTTGAACTTGTTCTTTCAAGCAGTATCCTATCAGAAAGCTGTTAAGAGTTAGCTTACCGATGAATAAATGCTTCAAGTCATATCCAGTATTGTCTTTGCGCAAAGAGGCAAGCATGTCTAGAACAGTACCATTTGCTAAAACAGCTTCAAGACCTGAAAAATCAAAGCCGGAAAGTGATCTTCAGTTCAAAGGAGAAAGAAGAATTGAGACTGCACGTCAGCCATCAAGAGGTAACTATAGAATCCCCAGAATATGGCATATAGTAAAGTTGCAACCTTAATGAAAAATGTAAGTTGAAAATTACAAACAAACAAAAAAGAGAGAGAGAGAGAGAGAACAAATTGACATGTTTAAGACAGCATGCTATTCCTAAAACTCCACTATAAAGAAAACTTAATATGAACTCCGACACTGATAGTGGTCAAATAGACTTTTTGCACATCATGCACCATGTGGCAAAATTGGAGCAGAGATCCCAATTTTGAAGCACATTTTCTATTCTAAAAACAGCATTTTCTTATTTCATAGCTTCGACAATGCACAGGAATTATAAACCGAAATGGACGCCAGCTAATTACCATCTTTTTTCTAAAGAAAAATCAATCAGTTGCAGAAGTTGAAGTTTTAAATAACACCACTAAAGATATTGTAGAAACTGGAATGAATGGTATAAAACTAATTTTATTCAACCTATACACGATATCTAGTTACGTCATGACAGCAAGTTTAAGTTTATAAAAGAATAAATTAGACAAATCCAATCTAAGATAACTGATAACTAAATAATTATCCTTATCTAAAGTCTATAATCACCACGGAATATGCATATACATACACCAACATGAATATTTTTATACAACAAAAATTCAATAAATGATTTTGCACAGCTCACCAAGTACACTTCCATGAAGTGATCCATATCGGATAAGGCGGAGACCACCAGCATTAGTTGAAACATTTCCCCCAATTTGACAGCTTCCTTTAGCACCCAAGTCCAGTGGCATAATAAATCTGCACCAGAAACATATTCTACAGTGGCAACCAAATATGGAAAAGATACACATAAAATGTAGAAATTTTGGTATGTGAAAAAGATAAATCCAACCAAGCTATATTATATGTGTGGTATCTTCATGAACTGAGTCCCCTTGAGTGCCCCCTTGGACGCTATAAAAAGGTTTACACTCAAAGGTTCATAAGCAGCGAAAATAGGCATAATAAAAGAATATAGTTGCCAATTTTACATCAACTTCTCGAAGAACTTCCGAAGAATGACATGCAATTTCATCTTCATGCTTAAAATTCGAATCTCTTGTCAAATGTCTATTGTTATAGTTCTATTGAAGTTCCTCGAAAACATTTTAAGCAAATTAACACAATTCAGCTTTTTAGTGTTGTTTATCTTGTTTAAGAATGCTTATTACTTTCAACTTGTCATCAAGTAAATAAATATTTTTGTGTGTATATATATATATATTATAATTTGTAAACGCATAATTTAAAGAATTAGGGTAGCCACAAGCCAATAGCAAATACAATAATATGGTTTCAAAACTAAGATCAAAACCTTGAAAGCTGGTCAATATGTTTGGGAAGTAGAGTAGCTTAGATATACCTGACAAAAGAAGCCAGGCCGCCCTGAAACAACTTATGAACCTATTTTTTCTTCTCTACATGGACTTAGAGTAATTAGAAAACTAAAGCCTCAATGCTTGGACGATCTAAAAACTTAAATTTAATATTTGATTTTTCAATCAAAGAGAGTGTAAAAATGCTAAACTTTTTGAAAAATAGAGAAAACAAACTTGCTTTCTGTTTTCAAAAGGAAAATAGAACAAATTAATGCTCTGGAACCTTATAGTTAAGTATAGTAGCTCCTCAATCAATCTGTTTAAAAGTTCCAATGTGACTCATTAACTTTGCACCATAACTTACACTACTACGAATATTTCTTATTTTGTTAAAAGGAGACGGGTATGCTCTTCCTCTACTTACCTGTCTTATTTTAGTTGTCTAACTTCTCCAAGACACTATCAAACCTCAATAGGAATACCAAACCCTTGCCAACTTTTAATTCTTTAGGAATTCTTTTACCTCTCTTGTTCTAATTTTATAGAAGACCTTGACATCTTTGCTCTTCCTCAAGTAGTGCTCTGATTTTCATTAGACATTCTCTCAAAATTGTGTCTCCAGCTCTCTTAATGTACGCATAAAAAATTCTTCAGAGCGAATTTTTTTTAATGATTCCTCCAGAACCCTCCTACATGGGGACATTAGTTTCATTTGTTTAGTAGATATTATGAACAACCAGATACTAGCCAAACATAGCAATGCAATAAACGCGTTGATAATGGGATAGATATCCAAATGAGGGGACCACCAAGAAGGGACAAAATCATAAAGAAAACTCATTTAGTTCTTCACACAAAAGGATAAGGGAACTGAATCTGTACTCTAAGTCAATAAAGAGTCGAGACAGTAAAAGGGAAATCCCAGTATAAAGAACTGAGCCAGTCCCTGAAGTATGGTTAATCTCACATGATGATTGAGAAGGCATAGTCTCAATCATGTCCATTTTCGGTTTTTAATTCAAGAGTTACACATTGTAATTGGGATGCTATTAACATTATGATGCAGATTATGGAGATATAATTTAAGGAAATGCCAAAAATAAGAACTTATTGTAAGCAGAAATAAGAAATAGAATTCGATTTATTCTTTGATGCCATTATTATTTGTTTTAAGGTTAGGGAATTTTTCTATTCTAGAGACTTCCCATTTTTGTTTGGAGTTCTTATACAATTTATTTGTCATGACAGTTAATCTCCCCTATATTTTTCCCCCACATCTCCAATTCTTCTCTTCTTCTCACTTTTCTTTTTTCTCTCTCTCTCTTTCCCATACTTTCACACAAGTATATCAATAACATCAAACTTAAAGATTTTGCAATTGTAATTGCTGCGAGTTCAAAGAAGATGGCACTCACGTGTCAATTTATTTTATTCTTTAATAAGGAAGAAAGGGACTGGAAGTCCAAAAATTTATTTTATTAAGTATGATAATTGTCATAACAAACAAGTTGGCTGGCCTCAAAAACAAAATTATAAGAAAATAATGCAACTTTACCCTTGGTTATCCAAAAAAGAAATCAGGTTTTCCAAAATGCATCCTGCTTCACATACCAGTATACCGCTAACCTTAAGAAAGTAAACTTATGTCAGAAATTCATGAGCTATGTTCTTGGTGATAATGTTGCAAATAATATCTGAGATTTAAATGAAATTTTAAACTTGAAAAAGAAACAGGTTGCACTGATTTTTATTGTTAATGCAGAATGTAAAGATGAAAGGGCCGAGATTGCATTACAAACAGATAAAGGGAAGCAAAACTAAGATGATCCATACAGAAAATTCATCTGCAATTTCTCCACAGGTGAGTGGGCATGGACAGCAGACAGCAAAAAGAACAAAAATAATAGCAACATATTTCTAAGACTGAGTGTCAGAAACTAAGAAGCACGGATACTGATACAAAATTTGAATACGATACGATACGATACAGGTACGTCCACGTGACTTTTTTTAAAAAAAAAATTAGGATACGCAGATACGTGTTACAAAATTTAACATAATTTCATTAATATAAAAAAATTTAAAACAGATGTATCTTGATCCTAAATTGTCCAAACTTCATTTTCTTCAACATCAGCTTCTTCATTATCATTAAAAATAATATTTTCCAACACTAATTCAACTAATAATATAATAGCAACCTTAAGCAGTCCAGCACCTTCAAAAATATCAAATGAATGTTCGACAATGTCCCACATTTTGAATTCTCCTTTTGAATAGAGATCTAATTTTTTTTGATAAACTAATTGTGTACTTTCAATAAATATAATTAATATTCGATAAGCTATTAAAATAATTATAACTATTAATATTCAATAAGTTTTTAAAATAATTAGAAAATAATTAAAAATATATAAGATAATTAAAAATACATGTCCAATACGTATCGAGGGTATCTAAGAGTATCCAAGATTCGATATGTATCGGATACGGGTATATAATGAGTATGTATGTCTTAACAAGTGAGAGGAGAAAAATTAATTTGATAAGCCAACTGTATCAATGAAGTCATCTAACATCACAATATTACTTCACTCTTGTGATTCTGGAAAGTAGCAAGAAGAGAAAAGGCATAATGTTGATATCACTTAGCAGAGTTAACATTACCTTGTCAAAAGAAAGGATGTTATTCATGGAACCAACATTGATGATTACCTGCAAAGTTTAACCAAAAATAAAAAATAAAAATGGATATGGAATAAGATAATGGACTAGAGAGTGTCCAAACATCCAAACTGCAAAAATCTATATGTGGTTTTAGATGTACTTAATCAAAAAAAATTCTATTTCTTTAAGGACTTGTAAAAATTCACAATATGTAATGACCAGCAATGTCTATTTTAATCTCTTCTGGACCAACTTATAATGACTTGATTAACATATAAATGATGTTCCAAGAATTACTCTCTGATAACATCCTTTACAAGTTTTAATTTTTAAAGGGTATGGTTGATATTGTAACTGTATGCTCAAATATTTAGTACGATTCTGTCAGCAATACTTAGACTATTAACTTCTCCAAGAACCCATGTATATTTTGTCTATCAACTTTAACTACAAGAGTAAATGGCAGCTACTTAACCTCCCCGGTCCCTTGTATTGTTTGACGATCCATTTTTATCTGAAGTTTATACCACTTGCTTTACTTGGTTGAAACCAGTTCCCAAAATCTACTGATGTAATTATGTCTAACCTCAACCTCTAATTTTGTTTATCCTTTAACTAATGAGTCCAAATACTTATATTTTATTGTGACTTTCAGTCATCCATTTCTGTATAATTTTATAATGTGTATATATATTAACTTGGTGACTCTTCATTTGATGATTTTACTCTATATGTTTCATTATGTCTATTTTTAGTCTTTTCCTCTCAGGAATTTGTATAATGAAACAATGCAATTGGTGGATTATTAATTTATCTAGAAACTGGTTAACTTGGCCCATGTTTGGCTACTCCTTTTATGATCATTCAAACCACTTTTTATCCACATACTTCGTAGACCCACAAGTATTATCCACAGAAGCGCAGCGAGAGGGGTGCGAGGCTGGGCCCTTCCCCCCAAGGCTCATTTCATTTTAACGTTTTAAAAAAAAAAAAAAATCCTATATAGTAGCTCAGTAGAAAAAAAAATAAAAAATTGTCCCTCCTGGCTCCACTCCTAACTATCCACTTATCCATTACTCATATCTAATTATTTATATTTTAAACCATAAATAAACAACTCCCAAACATGCTTTTGTTCAGAAAGAGACAATATGGAGCTAGTTGTCATTATGATTGGATGGCAAAAGCAATTACACTCCAGAGAATTTAAAGTTAACAATGTAAGCTATTTGATTCTGTTCTAACATAAGCCAATGATGGAGAGGCCAGAAAGATATTTTGAGAAATCGAGTAGGTACCTCTCCAACTAGTGTTTTGTTACCATGACGACCATATTTATCGTCAAGAGAGAGAAGGTTTGAATCTAATGCTGACACAAATTTCAATAGTCATGGCTCACAAGGGTGAAATAAGGTTTAACTTATCATGTATGAGACTCAAGAAAAGTTCAACTATTTGTGAATGACGAGGTTGGAGCTCGTTGCTCTGACAAGAAATAAGCATTAGATTTTTACTGATCCATCTAGGACGAGCAATTTGAGAAAATTGCTTGCCTCTAGTTGATGGGATTGAGAACTAGCAGCTATTGCTAAACTCTATTGGATGGGAATTCCATTCAACTCAAGTAAGCGTTTTGGGTTCAACTGTAGTAACTTTTTTTTTTTTTTTTGGTGAAAAGTTTCTCCAGGTTTACCTTTTACCTAAAGCCTGGGGTTATCAGATGTATATATACTTTTTAATGAACTTTATTAATTTCCCATCAAAAAGTTAAATTTTACTATATGAATATGAACCAAATATTACATCAAAAATATGTGTTACATATGAATGGTTACAACTTCCATTTCCTTGAATGCCACGTTAAAATAGTAAAATTCTGGAAAAAAAAATCCTAAATAAATTGAAACAGCCTTGCCCCCTGCAGAAGACTTGATTGAGCTAATAATATGCAGAAGCTGAAATTGGCATGCAAAAAAATATATATAGGCCCATGTTTGAGCCACATTCTTGGAAAAAATGCATTGTTCATGTCAAATCAATGGGAAATGTGTGGTTAAAAAATAAGAAAAAATTTTAGATTTATGTGTAATATTATTTTATTGAAAAATGTGTGGTTGAAATGATGTCAAATCACTGTTGAAAAATATATTTTTTAGAAAATAATGTGACTCAAACAAGCCCTCTATATAATAATAAATACAAATGCTTAATCCAAATGTTTATAATTTCTGAAAGAAAGGCATATTTAAACCTTCTCTATTTAATGGCTCAACTACTACTGTACGAATAATATCAAAAGACTCACAATGGTTTTCCAGTGTGTCTACGAAGGGCTCCAACTTGAAATGTTATTTGAATATATCACAAGGTTGGCCTAAAAAGATTACTTGGAGAAAAATTACTTGGTATTAGAAGAAAATTTCAGTTGACTAATTCCTCTTCTAATTTCAAAAAGTATAATTTTCACTATTTGTTAATTCAATTGCTTTTTGCAAACCATTGAATCTCCTGAGACAGTTAAAAATGAAACCTGAGAAACTCAATCCAGACTTTTCCAAACATGTATCTTGAAACTTGACTTTTAATTGTCCATTACAGAACTAAATAAGATAAAATGTATACAAAAATATCTAATCTCCCAAGTCACAGAAAAATCATACACAAATATTCTACATGACAAAAACATAGCACCAAATGTTAGGTTTCACCGTCAAGAGTCAAAGTCGCAGTCCTCTGTTGATTAGTTGAGATGAGATGTTATATTTAAGGAACAAACCAGCAATGTGATACTAAGGAGGACATTCAATATATGATGATTAGATGATGAGTTACTACAGAGAGAAACTATATAGTATTACCTCATCAAAAACAGGTACACTTCCTCCCACAAGACCTGTATTTCCACCTTGAGGTACAACAGCCAGGCACCTGGAATTGCAATATTTAAGAATCTGAGAAACCTGCACAGAGAGAGATGCATAATGACTGAAACAGCAATCGTGAAGGTTAAGCCAACTTCCACAATTACTCAGAAAAGAGACGAAAAAGTAACTGGCACGCATACTAAGAGGACGCCGTTGTATTTTGACATGAATGTCAGAAAATGATCCCATCATTATAAGTGGAAATTAGTTAACACTGTCATAACAATCTATTCACAATATTTAAGTATTTACATAATAAGCAGTGCACAAAATACATTTCTTGATAACAAAGTTGATAATTAATTTACATTTGCGTATCAATGACAAAATAAAAGAAAATATCCACAGTGGAAACAATGATTATGCAAATTAACTAGCAGGAGGAAACTATCTACAGTAAGGTTCAAGTTGAACCTAAGACCCCAAAGTAGGGCCTCGGCCTTCGCCACTTATGCTAGTTGGCTGTGCCCCATCTGCGCCAAAAAAAGATTATGACTTTTCAGATACTTAACATAGATAATCTCATTTTACTCAACGTTAACTCTAAGGCTTAGCATAAATCGTGAATTTTCCAAACTTTTGGCACATACTGCCAGCCTTTAAGAAATATCATTCTCAGTTTTTCCTTAGCTTTTCGTGTTTATTTTTCCCATTCTTTCTTTCTTTCTTTTTTCTTTCTGTGGTGGTGGAGGGTGGAGAGTAATAATAAGATCGATAAAATGAAATAACTTCTTCTGGAGAAAACAAAAACAGAAGCAAAACAAAGTATATAGTCATAGATGCAGAAATTTTAAGCTCAAATCAAAATAGCAGAAGATTGACAATAAAACAGCAGCTCAATAAACATTTTCTAAAATGAAAGCCCAGACTGATTCAAATAACTAATCCTTCAGCTGAGAAACTGCAACCATTTTGAGAGGGTAAAATCCATTGAATGGGAACCATATTGTTGACTCCAATAAATGTTGCCAACAGATACCGGACTCACCCGTGCACACGTAAGCGAAAGTCCAACACTCAAAGACATGTGGACGGTGTAAAACGGACAGATCAAAGGCATGGGAGTAGCTCAACGGCGCGGGACAAGAACGTTTGGATTCCCGGGGGGTGATCGTAAATCGATTGTACAATAATTACCAATCGATGTTTGCAAATTGTATCTAAATATGTATGAACTAGTTTATATTGCAAGATAATGAGAAAGAGCGAGAGTTGAGTAAATTATGGTTTCTTATATTGATTCTTGCATTAGCCTTTGTATGGGGTACATGGGGGAGTATTTATAGTGTTATTAGTTAAATCGTGACCTTTGGTTCGGGGTACACGTGGCCTCATCTGGTTGAGTTACATGTCAAATTGTAAGCATCAGTCGCACCTAGCCTGTTATACATTTATTGATTGGCAGAGCCGCCTCTACTAGTTACAAGACTTAACAAATACACTCATAACAAACGTCCTATCAATCATTTAAGGAAGATCTTTGTGCAGAAGATCTCTTGGGAGAGGTGTCTATGGAAGATGTTGCTCTGTGCTTCGAATGCTGCCACCTCGGCTACAAAGCTTCGACGAATAGGGCCTCGTCCACCTTCAAAGGGCCTCGGCGTATGGGCTTCAGAAGCTCCTTATGAGGCCATGATAAAGGGGCCTCGGTGTACATGGATCTAAGCATCTGTGGACCTCGGTTTATGGGCCTCGGCTATGCAAATCACCTCGGATTATGTGCCACGTAGCAGCCCCGGTAGGTTGTCCAAGTGTGCGAACATGTAAAAATAATCCCCCAAGTCCTCGCATTAATCTGTTGACCACAATAAATGTTGCAAACAGATACCGGACCCACCCGCGCACACGTAAGCGAAAGTCCAACACGCAAAGACACGTGGACGGTGTAAAACGGACAGATCAAGGGCGTGGGAGTAGCTCAACGACGCGGGACGAGAACGTTCGGATTCCAGCACATAGCTTGTTATACATTTATTGATTGACAGAACTGTCTCTACTAGTAACAAAACTTAATAAATACACTCATGACAAACGTCCTATCAATCATTCAAGGAAGATCTTTGTGCAGAAGATCTCTTAAGAGAGGTGTCTATGGAAGATGTTGCTTTGTGCTTCGGATGCTGTCACCTCGGCTACAAAGTTTCGACGAATAGGACCTCGTCCACCTTCAAAGGGCCTTAGCGTATGGGCTTCGGAAGCTCCTTATGAGGCTATGATAAAGGGGCCTCGGTGTACATGGGCTTAGGCATCTGTGGACCTCGATTTATGGACCTCGGCTATGCAAATCACCTCGAATTATGTGTCACGTGGTTCAACACGAGTTAGCTGTGGGCCCCGATGGGTTGCCCAAGTGTGCGAACATGTAACACATATTACAGACAACACTATGTGAACGCTACCTAATCGAAGAATCATGTGAAACAAGGCAAAAAGACACTAACCTCCTCGGTGGTCCTAGGTTGGAGCATAAGCTTACTTGAACCTTTGTATTTCCTCATCCAATCCGTGTTTGCATCATCCAACTTCTCTTCGTCCTGAACTACGCCTCTTTCTCCCAGGATCTTCTTAAAATAGCTTATATCATCCATATTAATTTGTGAAAAATCTGGGTTCCTCTGAGTAGTTGATGCCACAGAAGCAAGATATCTAAGCTGAACTGCATAACTATTCCCATTGACACTTGGTAAAGAACCCGAAGCCCCATTAACATTGCCTCGAAACTTCTTGTTGAAAGGTATATAACTTCTACCATAAAAATATCTAACACCTGCAATCAATTAAAATCAATTTTTATATACGAATTAGCAAATGAAAATAGGAATCAAATTCCAACATTCTTCAAATCTTGCTTTTAATATGGTCAATCGTATTTTGTTTTAACATTCTTCACGGAGACACTATCTAATTGATGATACGTCACTTAACTATGAAAATATATATTATTTCGATCATTCATCTAATACTGAGAATTCACACACAACTTAGAGAAAAACGACTCAATGTAATTATAATTAAGTAAATCAATTGAACTTTAACGAAAACATTGAAAATTTAGCCAAAATAATCAAATAAAGACGTGTCGATATAAGAATTGGACGAGGAAGATTATTATACAAAGATTGCAAGAAATTCAGTTAAGATTAGTAATTGTGAGACGGTGTAAATTGTAGGTACCTGAAGTGAATGAATAATTCGATCGGCGATCAAAGTTGGACGAGTATTTGAGCAGACTATAAGTTACTCTCCATTTCTCCATTATTGATCTATCTCCTCGTTAAACTGATTCTGTAGCACGACTCAACTCTCACTTAAGAGACGGAGTGGAAAAGAATTAAATTGGTCGCTGAACTTACCGGAAAGTTTCATTTGGTTGCTAAACTTTAATTTGTTTGAAATTATTCATCCAATTCTAAGTTTTCTTTCATGTAGATAAACAAACTTTAATTTATTCCAAATTAATCACTAAACTTTATATTTTGTTTCACATTGGCCGATACACTAGTTTCCATTTTAAAAATTACTCCTTTGAAAACTTGTGTTAATTCGATTTTATGTTGCGAGGAAGGAGATTGATAGAGTAATTAACGAGGGAAAAAAATTATTGCTGGGTGCTGGTGACTACTTTGGAACAATATTAAAATTTAGTGACTAAGTTGAAACAAATCTTAAAGTTAAATGATTAATTTTAAACAACTTAAATTTCAATAATCAAATTCAAACAGACATATAGGTATAGTGACTAGTGGAACGTTTTATCCAGACATCAAACATGTGGCTAAGCATAAAACAAATACTCATAACTAAGTCCTTTTTGGGGCTTCATTTTTAATGAGATTTTGAAGAAAAATATATTTTAGAATAGTATTTCTTAAAGATTGTGTCGTCAAAAGACAAGAAAAAAAAATTATTTGCTTATAATATTATTTTATTAAAAAATGTATAATTAAAAAGATGAGAAACAAAAATGCATTTTTTGATAAAATGGAATAAATAATTATTTATCGGACATAACAACAATTACATTTTTAATGATAATATTCAATTTTTCTTGGTCGTTGACTTTATTGTTTAACTATGACATAACTATTAGTTTACTCCAACAATATAAGTATTAAAATAATGCTACCTATAATCGTTTTATATCTACTGTCAACATGTCATAGATACTAGCAAATGAGTCATAATACAAAGATCGATATTAAATACTAGCAGAGCTGAATAACATTACTCAAACTATTATTTTTACAATCAAAATCTAAATTAATTATATTTTTAGTCCATGTGTTATCTACCTTTAAAACAAGATTTATTAATTCTCATACTCATTTTCAACTTCATATTCACACAATAAAATATTTTATACATAAATTCAAATCTTTTCCCTGTTTTTAACCACACATTCCCAAAATCTCGCTACTCAAAACATCATTTTTTTTTAAAAATAAAAAATAAAAAATGTTGGACATCTACACAAGAAACCACACATAAATATTCATGTATAAATCTATTTGTACACCCACACCCATGTGAATGTATAAATACCTTTATATGCGTAAAATTATGTACACCAACCGCAACTCAGTATTCATTTCACCTCTAGTTGATGCTTTTTCTATGTCCTTATTTTGTTTTAACTCTTAATCGCATTGAACATTGTGATTACATTATTATAATCTCATATTTACCACTATATCCTAAATCAAACTAAAGGGCAAATCTCAATGTTTGTAAATTATTAATCAAATCAACCAAACTATAACAATGGAGAATTTAAAAAAAAAAATTAAAAAAAATGGTTTAAATTCCGAGGCCCAAAGAGAGAGTGCCTAGACCGAAATAACCATACTAAAAACTTAATTAATAAAAATTGTACGTTAAGGTCCCGTTTGATTTTCATTTTTATCAAAATATATTTTTTTCTATCTTCTTTTAACCATACATTCTTCATTAAAATAATATTACACGTAAATTAAAAAACTTTTCTTTATTTTTATCCACTCATTCCCCATCAATCTACTTTCTAAAATTCATTTTTCCAACAAAATGGGTGTCAAACACCCTCTAAAATAAATTAGAGTCCAGTACATGGTCAAATGCCCCATCCATGTCCAGCTAATCCTCACGGACCCAAATTCCTCTTCCCATTGCTCTTCGTTTGGTCCAACTTGCACAAAAATGATATCACAATCTCATCTCCATTATTCTTCCTGGAAATGAACGATTGGCCATTGAATCAGAACTTGTCTCGTCCTCAAACGAACCATCGCCATATAAGGAATTGTTGGGTGGTATTGGACCTCTATCACTCTCAAAAGCTAGCTCGAGATGTGAGACTCTCTCTCATACTTATAAATCGAATTCCAACTCATCCACAATCGATGTGGGAGAACTTCAACAATCTCCCATTTACACATTAGTCTTTGCGGAAACCCAAACACGTCTCTCCCCCCGTATATCGGGCCCTACGGGAGACCAAACCTGTTTTCCTCTCATACAAACTCATATCTCCGTGACTGTTGGGCCGAAGACTTATTGACAAATCGAGATCTAATACCAATGTTGGGTGGTATTGAACCTCTTTCACTCCAAAAATCAACTCAATATTTGAGGTTTTTTCTCAAACTTATAAATTGAATATCAACTTCATCCACAATCGATGTGGGACAATTTCAAGGAGAATGTGATGTTTCACATTGAACACATCATGCATACATGACTAGGCGATCAGAGGCAATAAGCATTTGCGTTAGATTTCTCAACAATAATAGGTATAAAGAATTACTAGCAATAATGGAAACTAACTAAATAGGAGGAAAGAATGAGAGAATGAAGAAAACTCGAAAACTTCCACACAAAGGGCATCCAAGAGGGAGTGACGGTTGACTCGAAACATGAGCGACACTAAATTTTGTCTTGGGTGAGGACCAACGACATATCAAAACTAATATTGGAAGACTTCTGCCAAATATTGGGGATCAAATTTCTGTAAGCGCTATAGATGAGAGATCAATACTGTAATTTTCTCGGAAACTTAATGAGCCGAGCCGAAGCCACTCCCGTGGCTTCTTCTCTTGGCGTTAAAGCCCTATCCAATTTCAACTCTGCCTCAACACTTTAATGGCGTCGTCTTCTCTAACTTCTCTCTGTTCGGTATGGAACCAACCCCAGTGCGTCCTCCGCATCAACCTGCCTAAAGGATATTCAGTAATCTCCTTCAGATTTCTCTCCTCGAAGCCGCCTCATTATTCGCCAATTGCAGCCTCTCATAGCTTCCGCCGCTGTCGCACACTCTGGCGGGGCTCTGCTTCAGTGTTCTCAAGACGTTTTTCTCGTTCTCAATCCCATTCTTCGATTTCTATCGATTCTGAAACTCCAAGTTTACATCGTTTCATGCCCAAAGCTACTGCTACCACTTCCGATGCCTGCGTCTCCGACGTCCAGTCCGAGTAAGCGCGTACCCTTTATGTTGGTTATAGATACATGTATTTATGTGCGTCTAGATGCAGTAGAGTTGGAACATGTGAAGTACTGGAAAGTAATGGCTTTAGTAAATGAACATTGCTGAAAAGCAGAGGAACAGTAATTGAGTGAAGGATCTTTACAATTCCTTCACATTTTTCTTAAATGTGATCTTTCTGGAGAAAGTGAAATGTGTGATTTCACCAAGTGACGCCTGATGAATTAAAGAAAAATTTTCTCGTAGCCCATATTTCTAGCACAATATTGCCAATTTATTCTACTTGGAAATTGCATTTTTGGATTTTAATTATTCAGGGGCTCATTATGTCACTGAAAGAATTTTTTATTGGTTTTTTATCAATCACTATACGTTTTTAGGCACCTTTTGCTCCACCATGCAAAGAAAACTTGTATTTCACCTATTTAGTTATATCTGTCATAAATACTACTTTTTTGCTCCTGGTTTCCATACTTCCATTCATCTTAATTCTTCTTTTGTTCAAGTGCATATTGCTGATTCAAGAAAAGTTCATAGGTTTGGGTTTCTGGTGAACTATGTCTAGTTGCAAGTGGGCTTTACTTTTCTGGACGAACATTTTCATGGTTTGTTTGGATTAAGAACTTGATGGGGAAGATAAAAAAGAACAAGTGGAAGTGTGAAACTAATTTCCCTCACATTTTCTCTGTTAACAATATGGGACTCGAAGCTTTGTTTTTTCATTTTTCAGTTTTCAGTTGTAACTCGTGAAAATGTAAGGTAAATAATGTATCTCCTATCATGACAATTGACACAACTATGAACTACTTCAGAACATAAATAAAATCCTGCACAAATATAGCTGAAAGAGTGTTTTGTCAAAATTCTGACGCAAAACAGAAAGTGTACTTGAAGTATTACAAGGTTTTGATAACCTTGTAATGGCATTATTCATGAAGCTTGGGGTTTTTATTTGCTAAACTGCCTTGCTAGTGTAGACTGTAAATTCAATCCCTTAACTGGAAGATTTCATCATTAGTGCATGGCATTGTTAAGTAATGAGTGAAAGAGTTTGAAACATATGCTGCTCAAGGTAAGATCTGACTCTAAAATAAAAAATCAATTCCACATGGCTATACAGAGTTGTGATAGGATTTGAGGCCAAAACGTGCCTCATGAATTAAGATGTTATAACTCAATTGCAAGCACTTTATTATTATGTTTTTGGGCAATGGTACTCTTGGGCAATTTCACCCATTTGAGCTTGTGGCATGCACCCTTCAAATTCATTTAAAGGTTTTGTATCTGGATGCATTTTCCAATCAAGCTGCTATCCACAATTATATTATTCACTTTAATTTTCCCCTGAAAGCACCAATTCAAAACTGAGCTGATATTTGTGCAAATAATGCCTATATTATGTTGTGCCGAGCAAAGAAACCAGTTATCAGGAAAGGTCGGCTGAAACATCTTCTATGAAACATTGCTAGTAGCTTAACTTGCTGCTCTATTTACTTCTTGTACTGTTTTTCCTATAATTTTTGGCTTTGTTTATGTAGTTTGTGTTTTTACATCATTGAGTAGTGAGTACGATGTGATTCAAATGGTCCCGTTTATCTAAGTTAAAGATAACATGTAAAATTAATGATATTAATGGGTTATTTTAATTGATTAGCATGCTGTTTTATATAGTATGTTATAATGTCTTTAGATGATTTTTGAACTGCATGGTTTTTTTGAATGGTAATAATTTGAAATATCATGTATTTTGTGGTGTTCCACCTCAAAGAGTGTGAGCACTCTAATCTTAAGATCTTATGTTTTTATTTATTTTTCTTTTGTCTAGCCCTGTGGCTGTTTCTGAAGCTCTCTCAAGAGGCC